CCCCTTCCAGGAAGTCATTCTTATCATAGATTAATCATAGATCGTATTTACTAATAGTCTCTAATTTAGTGGTTTATGTGTATTGTGATCAGATTAACATGATATTTATGTTCTATTGTTGTTAGGATTTTTGTTACTATTCCATATGTGCGTAAACACTTGGCCGTAGGATTTTTTATACATTTATTAGCTCAGGCTTATTGATGGCATTGTTCAAGTCTGTTTGGACTGCATGGTATATCAATTGTTGAAAGAGATGTGTTTTAATCTCTCGCTGTGGATGTTGATTCATCCATTTTCCCCTGATAATTCTCTAATTTTAGCTTTATCTGTCTTGAGGTCATGTTATTGGGGGCGTAAGTACTCATAATTATTGTATCTTCCTGAATTGAACCTTTTTATCATGATATAATGATCCCTTTTTATCCATACTAGTTTTTGTTGGTTTTGCTTAAAGTCTTACTTCTTTTCCAGTGGTAGCTGCAAAATGGTATTATGAGAAGAGGCTTAATAGAAAGCCAGACTTTGAATCCAGGTTTGGCCTTGGACAAGTTTCTTGAGCTCTGTCCCTTGGGTTCCACATCAGGAAAAGGGGGTAGTAGAGCACCCACCTCACCATGTTGTTGGGAGAGATTGGTCAACATACATGCAGTGCAAAGAACAGTCCTCGGCATATAGAAAGCTCTCAATATATATGAACTGTTTTCATTATTATTACATAATATTTTTGGCTAGCTTCCTTTTAATATGCCTTTTTGTACTCTTTAATTAAGTCTTCAAGTTGATTTTGGCACTTTATTCTGTGCTGTTTACGCGGGATTTTTCTTTTTTATCTTTTCCTGACTTATACGAGATTAATCAACTTTTCTCTAGTCTTTTTTTTTCCTATACTGGTTCAGAAGTTCTGTTACATATGCCTGTCCTGTTAGTGGTTACCCTTACATTTTTAAAGGGCATAATTGATTTATTTTTTTTAATCTAAAGACAGTGTCTCTAACTTCCTTCTTGTTAATACAAAGACCCTCTATTGTGAGGCCAGTCTAAGATCTGAATTACAAATTTACAGAATTTGCTGCTTAGTAAGTAATTTCTTTTCTCCCTGATGGAGCCTGTAATTTCCAGTGGGCCAGTGCCACTTTGTGTACACTGATCGAGTGAGGAACATCTAGACTGCAGAAGGGCCTAATTTCTACTCACCGTGCGAACCACCTTTTAAGAAGGCTTAAAAAGGGACATTGGGGGCATCTGGGTGGCTCAGTCAGTTAAGTGGCTGCCTTTGGCTCAGGTCATGATCCTGGAGTCCCAGGATCGAGTCCCACGTTGGGCTCCCTGCTCAGTGCTTCTCCCTCACCTGCTCTCATGCTCTCTCTCACTCTCTCTCAAATCAATAAAATCTTTAAAAGGGGGGGGGGCATTGGGAGGATGGTTAAAACCAACCCTTATCTTTCTTACAATTCTGCAGAGCACATGCCCTGCGTCTGCAACTTGGGTATGCCTCCCCTTCCCTAGATGATGAATTCACGAGGGACCTCATAGGCTGCTGAGAACAAGTGAGCTTTTCAATGAATTATTTTATGGATATCAGTCAAAAAGTCACCATCAGCTGGAACTGGAAAGCAGAGGGTTTTGTTTTTGTTTTTGTTTTTTCCCCAGTGGCAGCCATTTCAGCTCAAAAGCTCAATTCTTGGAAGACACACTTCCCTGTGCACCTAAAAATAAAAAGTAAAAAAAAAACCCACCAGAAGCTCTATATTGCTTTAGCTTCAGTTGTTCCCCAGCTTCTGACTTACATGGACATATTGTCCATTATTTTAGTTTTACTTTGTTTTTATATTTCTTAAATGAATCACTTCTTGGTTTATGAAGCCAGCATTTATGTACCTTTCCTCACATGTTCATCGGTTTCTTTATTATTTCTTCTTGCATCCCACTTCTTTCTGGGTTCAGCTTTTTATTTCTCAAATACATTCTTTAGGAGCTCTTTGAGATGAGGTTGTGTTGTTAGTGCTACACTCTCTGAATGAAAAGTCTATTTTTTGTCCCCAATCCTGAATTTTCGCTCAGCTGGGTATAGATTTGTTGGTTAACAGTTACTTTTTCTCAAGACTTTGAAGATGTTATTTTATTGTTTCTGCCTGTTCCTTGCTCTGAACTATCATATGTCTTTCCTTCATTTGTTGGGTGTGTTATAAATTTAAAACTTCTTATCTTCCTGCTCCACAAACAGGCTGTGAGCACCCTGCCCAGATGGCCAGGTCCTGCAGTGTGATAAGGCTGGCCACTGCCATAAGTTCTCCTTGCCCTCCCCTGACTGTGACCTAGTGAGAGTCAAGTGCTCCAGTGAAATCCCCCCCCATGCCTTTGCTTGTGCACTCCACCCTGACCCCCAATAAAGCACTTGCTGTGGGTCCTCGCTCCTTCTCTGCTTCCTATCCACTTGGTTGAGCGGCACCCTTAGTGTTCTTCCTGTGTGATCCCTCCTGGTGTGCAGTGAATCTGTCGGTCCAGGACCTAGGAGTATAATACACTTCGTTTTCCTGTGCCTCCCCTGGGTTCCCCTTGTGGCCATCCTGACTGACCATTGCCTAAAAGAACACAGAACAGTAGGTAATTGTCCTCTCTTGTTGCTTTTGAGTTTCTCTTTGTTGATACACTGAGGTTTCATCACATTGTGTCTGGTTATTGATTTATTTTTATTGGTCCTTTTAGGACCCCTAGGGATTTATATGTTTTGTTAATAATGGGACGATCTCAGCCATCATCTCTCTTTTTTTTAAACAGCTTTATTAAGTTATAATTCACATACTTTACAATTCACCCATTTAAAGTGTACCACTCAACGCTTTTTAGTATATTCACAGGTGAGTGTAGCTATTACCACTAATTACATGTACATCTACATATACATTTTGCCATATACATTTTATTCAGATTAGCTTCAGATTGATACTAGGTTCATTTCAGTGATATGTGGAATGTTACCTCTTATAACCCTATTCCCTTTCCTTCTTTCTGTGATATTATTATACACATTAGGTCTGTTAGTGTTACAAACGAACAAAACATAGTTGTTAATTACCACCTCCAGTCATTTCCTTAGCCTAGAACAGCTTTGCTTCCACACACCTCCTTTGGGCTGTTATTGGCAAACACGTTCGTTACATTTCTATATGTTAGAAGCCCAGTACTATGTTATAAACACAGTATCTTATACAATTGCCTTTTCAATCAGTTGAGAGAAAAAAAATACTCATTTATATTGTCTTTCATAATTACATCATTATCTTTTCTAGTGCCTTTTGGTTTTTTGTATGGATCCAAATTCCTCTCTGAGGGTCACTTTCTTTTAGCCTTAAGAACTTCCTTTGGGGTGGGGCGCTTGGGTGGCTCAGTTGGTTAAGTGTCTGACTCTTGATTTTGGCTCACATCGTGATCTCAGGGTTGTGAGATAGAGCCTGCGTCAGGCCCTGTGTCAGGCTCCTCACTGGGCGTGAAGCCTGCTTAGGATTCTCCCTTTCCCTCTCTCTCTGCCCCTCCCTCCCCTCATGCTCACTCTCTCTCCCTCTTTAAAAAAAAAAAAAAAAAAAACCTTCTTGGGGGGAAAAGATCTTATAAGAATTGGTATTTCTTATAAGGCAAGTGTGAAAGCAACAAATTCTCTCAGGTCTTGTCTGTCTGGGGAAAGTCTTTATCTTGCCTTCAGGTTTTGAAAGCTAGGTTTGCTGGATATAGGATTTTTGCTTGACAGTTTTTTCTTTGAGCACCTTGAGTATGTTATCCCACTGCCTTCTCACCTCTGTTTTTTCTGCTAAGAAGTCAGCTGTTAGTCTTATGAGGGTTCTCTTATAAGTAACAAGTCATTTCTGGCTTGCTGTTTTTAAGGTTTTCACTTTTTCTTTGAGTTTAGCACTTTGCTATGATGTGTGTGTCTGACGTGTTTAGGCTCTTTGCATTTATCCAACTTGGAGTTTGTTGTGCTTCCTACACATACAGGTTTTTCCAGTGAATTTGGGAAGTTTTCAGCAGTTATTTCTTCAGATACTTTTTTCTGCTCCTTCTACTCTCTTCTCCTTTTGGTACTTCCATTTCGTGTATGATGGTGCACTCGATGGTGTCCCACGTTTCTCCAGGGGCTGCTAATTTTTCATCATTCTTTTTTTCTCTGTTCTAGCAGAGAACAGTTCTATGTGAGTTTCTTGCCCTGCATATTCCTGACCACATGAGCTTTGTAGATTTGATTCCAGTCTTAAGTGAGGCACAGACCCATGGTCGTGAGATTTCTGATGAGTTTTTTAGATATCTCTACTCCCTTTGGAGACTGAAACAAACTTCTTCTTATGTCCCTTTGCCTTTCACTGAGAATGTGTCTTTTGGAGAGCTGACCCTGCCTCATCCCTTGTCCCTTCCTCCAGGCATCTGTTGTGTCTGGGGCTGGCTTAGGGCTCTTGAGTTTTCAGCTCCCTCTTGTCTCTGGCCATGGCCATTTCTCTTCCTCTAGCCCCAGGTCAGGTCTGCACAGAGTTTACTGTGTGTGTCTTGGGACTAGTGGACTTTGTAAACAGAGCCAGCAGCTTCTTGGGAGAATCATTGGAGACACATTCTCAAATGTGTTGTAAAATGGTTAATATGCATGGCAGCTGCATCTTAAAATTGAGGAAATCTCTAAGTAAACTGCTTAGGCAAACACTTGAAAGTAAACACTTCTTCATGGGCTTTCCCCTGGAATCTATCACTCTTCTCTCTCCTAGGTGTCTGGGCTCATGGCCAGGTGTGCCCTGACCAGGTGTGCTTTGTCCTAAGAGTGAGCTGTAGTGACCTCTCTCAGATAGCCACTTCCTCTGGTTGTGGGCCAGATTCACACACTCCAGCACTGGGAGGGCTCTCAGGTTGATCTTGCGAACTCCTCTGTTGTCATGTCTGCTACCTAGACCCAGCTGGGGAGAGTCATGGCTCCTTCTGCTGATAATGCATACATATATGCATGTATGTGCATGTTGCAGGTCAAACATGCGTTGACATCAAGGACAATGTGGTGGATGAAGGTTTCTACTTCACACCCAAAGGAGACGACCCATGCCTGAGCTGCACCTGCCATGGTGGGGAGCCCGAGATGTGTGTGGCTGCCCTCTGTGAGAGGCCCCAGGGCTGCCAGCAGTACCGCAAGGACCCCAAGGAATGCTGCAAGTTCATGTGCCTGGACCCAGGTGAGACTGATCGTGGGTCATGAGTCAGCCCCCCTGTTCTGAGCTGGAGCCCAGATGTCCCTTTGCTTTCTCAGTGGTAGGGACTCATGAGAGCTCATGGCACATGGCATAGCAACAGTGGCAGCATTTGTTGACAGAGCTGTCCTGACCGCTTTGAGGGCCAACTGCTCTTGTGGGCATGTGTGTGTCACATGACCCAGCCTTCTCTAACTGCCACCTTACAGGTTGGCTTGTGTCAGCTCTCAGGTAGGTAACAAGTACTGTACACCAGTGAACTTGAACTTGAATGTTGGTGTCTGTTCATGAATCAGCTGTAACTGATGGCTTCAAACCTGACCTTTCTCCTCTCAAGACTTATGTCCCCATTTGAGCTCTTTTCCGAGTATGGTGATGTGGACGGTAATGACAGTTTTTATTGCTTATAGTCATTGATTTTTAGCATTAAGATCTTTCAGAAAAAGATTAAATATTACCCTCAGTTTTGAGAAAGAAACTCCTTTCTACCAGGTGGTGTTTGTGGTTAGACACTATGCAGGCATGTGGTCTCTAGATAGCCCTCTTCCTTTCCTTTAAAAAAAAAGAGCAGCAGGTAGCAACCTGCTCTGTACGACCATTAGTGGGCATCACACTCCATACAGCATGCTGGATTATTCTCCACACCAGTGCAGTTGGCATCTCTGTGAATTCATAATCTCAAGTGAAATGTAAATCAAAAGCATGAATTTGTTTTTTTATCTTGGCAGTGTGAGAGAGACGTGGACAGGGCCTTGTGGAAGTCCCTAAGCTCATGGACCCTGTAGAAGAGAAGGTTGGGCAGGGCGTGGTGGCCATCTCCATCCTCCAGGGCCCCTGTGGAGGAGAAACTGCTTTGCCTAGTACTGGTGGGACAGGAGCTGGAACTGGTGTGTGAGGGCCACACAACTAGAGCTCTCATTAAGTAGAGAGTTGTCAGTGTCCCTACATGCCAGGAAGGGCTTCTGGGGGAGAGGGCAAAGCAGTGTCAGAGGGTGTCGGAAGTTTGGCAGAATCAGACACTTTGGCACATGTCCCAGACGTGCAATCGGCTGTGGAGACTACAGAGGAGCCTACCAGGGAGAGTGGAGGTCCGTGAGGGTACACTTGGGCCTCCCTATCTCACAGAGTAGATTGTATCTGCTTGTACAAGATGCATTCCTATGGGATTCTGACAAGGACTGATTGGGTGCTTACCAGGTCTCCTGTGTCCTGGCCACATCACTCTGAACCTCCAGCTCACTTACCTTCCACAGGAGTCAAACTCTGGCTTTCATAAGCCACATCACCTGGATTTCTCATTCCATCTCTTAGGAGTCTACCAGTATTGCCTTACCCCTCTATCCAGGCTTTGTCAGAATGACTAGGCCTATATAAAGCCTGTAGGCAAGGCTTGCCTAGCCCTGAGGACTTCTCAGCAGAGCAGGGCTCTCAGGGCCTCTGGATGAGACCACAGCTGCTGCAGGCCATTCTCCTGTGCAGCCAGAGCAGCTTATCCAGAACTTCTCCCTGCCTCTTGTTCAGCCTTACCTTTGCAGGCTCCTAACTGCTTCCCAGGCTGAGTGTCTTCCCTGGGAAGTGACTGTATTCCAACAAGGACAGAGACACTGCCACCCAAACTGGGGACATTGGGAAAGTATCCCCTTCAACAAAGCAAGGATGTCTGCTCTCACCACTCTGTTCATGGTTGTATAGGAGGTCAAGGGCAGTGCCAGAAAATGAAAAGGTATCCAGACCAGAAGGGGAAAATGAAATCATCTTTTTTTTAGTAGATGACATGATTGTCTGCATAGAAAATCCCAGAGGATCTACAAGAAAGTTACTAAAACTAGTAAGTGTGTTTAGCAAGGTCTCCACATACAAAGTCATATATAAAACTCCATTGTTTTTATATATACTACCTGTGAACAGTTGGAAATTGAAATATCTAAAAAAAGTACCATTTACAGTAGCACCAAAAAAACATGAAATACTTAGGTATAAGCCTTACAAATAGGTGCACAATCTCTATGCTACAAACCATAAAATACTGATGAAAGAAATCAAAGGTGTAAATAAAAGGAGAGGTATACCATGTTCATGGATCATAAGACTCAATATCATTAGGCACTTAACTCCCCCCAAATTATCTGTGGATACAATGCTGTCCTAACCCAAATTCCAGCAGACTTTTTACAGACATTGACAAGCTGATTCTAATATTTATGTAGAAGAGTGCCTGGCTGGCTCAGTCAGTGGAGCACAGGACTCTTGATCTCAGGGTTGCAAGTTCGAGTCCCATGTTGGGTGTAGAGATTACTTAAAAGCTTAAAAAAAAAAAAAGATAAATAAAACTTATGTAGAAATAAAAAGGAATTAGAATAGCTAAAACAGTTTTTGAAAAGAATAAAGTTGGAGGATTCATGGTACCTGATTTAAAACTTACTGTATGGTCATAGTAATCAAAACAGTGTGGTATTATCAAAAGAAGAGATACATAGATCAGTGGAACAGAATAGTCTAGAAATAGTCCCACACATATATGGTTAACTAATATTTGACAACAGTACAAAGGCAATTAAATGGAGAAAGGATATCTTTTAACAAATGATGCTGGAACAATTGGGCATTCATATGCAAATATATATATATACACACATATACCTTTAACTACATATCTTACTATGTATAAATATTAACTCAAAATGGTCATAGACCTAACTGTGAAACCTTAAACTGTAAAATTCCTAGGAGAAAATATATGCTCTAAAAAAAAGAACATAGAAACCATAGAAAAATCTTTGTGACCTTGGGATAGACAACACTTGTAGCTAACCAGTCATGGTGTGAGTCCCCAGGGACCCAAGAGTTGCCTTCTGGCTCCTAGGACAGTGCTGTCTTCTCTGTGTCTGACAAAGTGTGTGCAGGTGGCTTTCTTCTAGGGGATGCTTCTTCCTTCCTGGTAATCACCATGGAGGGATGGTCAGGACCTTGACTGTGTCCTTGGGTTCATTTTGGAAGTGATTAATAAGAGTCATTGCAAAGGGACTGCTGCTTTAGGTGCCCCCTTGGGACTCTGAGCTGGCCAGCAATGAACAGATATGTCAGCAGCCCCCTGAGCTGACAGACTTCCTCCCACAGACAGAGACAAAATGTTCCCTTGAGACTGGAAGAGGATCAGAGGCACCACAAAAGCAGCTAATTGGTGAGAGGACGTATCCTTTCCACATATTTACTTCCCAAGGGTTGTCAGCAATAAGTGCAGCTTTGAGGGAAGCTCTCTGGCCCTGTAGGAGGAGGGCAAGAATGAGCTCGGACCATCTGCATTGGTGTGGAGCAGGCTGGGCCAGCAGAAGGAGTAGAAGGGCCCTGGGAACCCGGCCTTTCACATGGAATCCATGTTGGCCGTGAAGTGTCTCCTTGGGGCTGGTGGTTGGGGAACCTGCCCGCATGGCTGTCACAGAGTTGAAAGTCGACAGTCCTTGGCCCTTCCACCCATGTGGAGTCCTGCTTCCAGTGGCTACCAGTCACTCTCCCCACCACTGAGGCCTTCCCGTGGCCTTCCCTCTGGGCTGTGGAGGCAGGGATTCCCGGGACCACTTCCTGGTTCTGTGTTTCTGTGGCTTGGCACGAGTGGCCCGTCTCACCTCGGTGAGAGCCCCTGGAGAGGTCTGTCCCACTGTTGGCACTCAGCCAGTGCAAGTTCTCTTCCCTCACTCCTCATCCCATGATCATCTGTGCTCCCCCTGCAGCAGGTCCACGGCAGGTACCTAACAAACACTGGTGGGGACCAGGGCAAGGCAGGGTGTCTCCATGTGGGCACTGTCAACATTTGGGGCTCAGCACTGTGATGTGGGCCCTTCTTGTGCTCAGCAGGATGTTGAGCAGCATCCCTGGCCTTTACCCACTAGATGCCAGGAGTGCCTGCACCCTCGAGGGGTTGATGGTGACCCAAAGTGTCTCCAGACATTGCCCAATGTTCCCTGGGAGTGACAGAGTCCCCCAGGTGAGCATCCCTGGTCTAGGGTCCAGGAGCTTGGTCACATAGGCCTGATTTTGTACTGTGTGGTTGGGGGCACAGGGGCCCATAACAAAGCTTCTTAGGCAGAAGGGGTGCATCGCATGGAACTAGTGCTAGGCTGGAAGGTAAAATATTTTTCCTGGCTGATGATTTTCTTCTCTCCTTTGGTGTTATCACAGTATGCATGACTCTGAGCTGTTTCATTTCTGCCATCTCTCCTGAGATCGTCAAGTGCAGGGAATCAGGAAGCAAGTTGCCTTTTCCACATAACCGCTTGGTGGTGAAAGGCTGTCGCCTTCCCATAGCACTAAGTGCCTGGGGGGTCAGGCTCTCCTTTTTGGAAAACAGCCGGTTTCCTTCCTCCCCTTGTACCAGATGGCAACAGCCTGTTCGACTCCATGGCCAGTGGGATGCGTCTGATCGTTAGCTGCATCTCCTCCTTCCTCATCCTGTCACTGCTGCTTTTCATGGTCCACCGGCTTCGCCAGAGGCGGCGGGAACGCATTGAGTCCCTGATTGGAGCCAACTGTGAGTGTGCCTGGCCCTGCCTGTGACAGCCACAGTGGAGGTCCCACTCCAGGCTGTGTCCCCTGTGGGGCGGGAGGCACAGGAAGCGGGAAGGGGCAAGGAGGACAGAGGGGATGTTGATAGGGATGCCCCAGCGTGTCCCCGTTCCACCCACTCACCTGCTCCTGGGCTGAGCACATACCTGGGCAACCAGGGGAACTGTCCTGGGGACCTGAAATCAGGCCCTGGATGTGCGGAGGAAGGGACGCACCCTCAATGCCAGCCGCCCCCAGGCTCCCCGGCCCTCCAGGCCTTGAAGCAGGACCCGCAGCTGGCGCTGGGTGTTCAGATCAGGGATGGTACCTTTCCCGGCAGCCTGGACCGTGAGTGGGCCACCTGCCGGGGGCAGAAGGTGCAGCGCAGCCGACACCCCGAGCAGCTGTTAGGCAGCTTACGGGTGCCTTGCTTTCCTCAGCCCGAGTCCTCTGCAGCGAGCGCCCTTGCCCTCAGTAGAGCGGCGGGAGTCGCTCCCTGTCTTAGCGAGCAAGCCAGGCCCCCAGCACCAAGTCCCCTGGTCCCTGTGGGCAGCGATGGGGTTGCAGACCCCGAGGGCTTGAGGGCTCCGATTCAAGGTGGCCGGAATGCTGAGGGACTGTGCCGGCTGCAGTCGGGGGCCTCATGGCCCTGAGAGGCAGCCCAGTCCTTCCCCAGACCCTCAGTCTCAGCAGGCCAGCTACAGAGACCCTCAGCTGGAGGGGTGTGGTGACGGCGGGGCGGCCGATGTGGCAGGAAGTAGTGATGGCTTGCACGTGGGTGAGGGCCAGGCGTGCACTGAAGGAGGGGTTCCGGGTGAGAGATTCAGGGCTCTCGTGTGGGCAGCTGGGCACACAAGTGTGACAGTCGGGATGCCTGATCCCTTGGCCTGGGGGTGGCAGGTCCAGCCTCGGGAGGGGGTGGGTGACTCGGGGGCTGAGCCGCGCATCTTTGAGTGACATGGCTCTGTTGGCTTGTCTCTCCCTGTGGTTGCGCAGTGCACCACTTCAACCTCGGCCGGAGGATCCCCGGCTTTGATTATGGCCCAGACGGGTTCGGGACCGGCCTCACACCACTACACCTTTCTGATGACGGGGAAGGTGGCACGTTCCACTTCCACGACCCTCCGCCTCCCTACACCGCATACAAGTACCCAGACATCGACCAGCCTGATGATCCGCCGCCGCCCTACGAGGCCTCCGTCAACCCTGACAGCGTGTTCTACGACCCCGCAGGTGCTTCCCCCCCAGGGACAAGGGGGCAGCACGTCACTAACCAGGGGCTCAGTGGTCCTCCTCCCCAGTCCATGAGGCCCTGAACCTCCACTTCTTCCTGGCCTTCTGCTTTCCCCTTGAGTTTCCCTTCAGGTGGAAGGAACCACCGTCTGTCGGTAGGTGGGCTCTTCCCAGGGTTGCCTGTGCAGATGAGCACACCTTCCTCCCGTGAACACCTGTTAGCAAGCAGCCCTTGGGGCACACGCAGCTGGGCTCTGCGGAGAGCTGGGGAGCCGGGTGCTGGTGGCTGTGGGGTCAGGGCGAGCCTAGAGCTGCAGGGGGCCACTCAGAGCCAACTGCCCGGCCATAAAGGCACATGTGTACATGTGGTGAGCTGAAGAGACGCCATCATGACGTTCCCTCCTGTCTGGAAGCAGTTCTGTGAAGAAAGCACTGGTTCTGTGATGTTGGCCCGGTGACTCGAATCTGCTGTCCATCTGACACCGTGGAAGCTCATTCCTCCCAGGGCCGTGTAGCACAGAGGGAATGCCGGGTGCCTCCCCCGCTGCCTGGCTTGTCCCTGTGCCTGGTGTGCAGCTCAGGCGTCCCGTCCCGTTTGCCGGTGTGTTAACACGGTCTCGCACACACGACCCCCTGCGGTACACCAGCGGGCAGTGCCCTCCTCCACGGTGGCCAGTTCCCTGCACACCCACGTACCCCAGCAGAACGGGGGTCATGGGGCCTGCAGTGCTGTGTTCACTGGGACCGAGACTGCCCCTCTGTGGTCTGTGGGCAAGACCTGGATTTGACCCCTGCGCGCACGGATTGCCCGTCTGCTGTCGGGGGCGTTCAGGGTAGAACAGGCTTCCCGCCAGGGATGCCGCCGGGGGGCAGCAGGTCCCAGATGCCTGCATGGGGCCGGCTTAAAGGGAGCACATGCTCCCCAGGGCAGGGTAACAGGACTGCTGAGCCTGGGGGAAGCCAGCCAGCGCAAAGGGGCACGCTGGGCCCCCACGCCCCAAGCTTTCGGAGAGGGCCTGGGTAATAAGGAGCAGGCACACTGAGGGGAGTGGGCTGCCACAAAGCTTCCCTCAAGCCAGGGATTTCTGCAGACCCCTGTGAGGTGTGCGGAGCTGCCTGCCACGGCCCTGCCTCCTGCATTCTCATCCCTGTATTCCAGCCACGGCCTGGCCGCCGCCAGCCCAGTAACCCCCTCACGTCACGGGAGCCCTGCTTTGATTCCCACCAAGTCTGAGAGGATTTTTCCTCTCCCCTGACTTTGTTCTGCCGACTGTCAAAGTATGTCCAGCTCATAGCTGTACCCCTGTACCTCGCCCGCCCCTTGCAAAGGTGAGGGGTGAGCACCGCTTCCCCCCACTCCCACCATAGTGGGAGTGTTCAGACAGGAGGAGCGTCCCCTGGTTCTGTCCAGCCCACCCTCTTCCCCTGGGCCAGACGCACCATCCTGCTGACACCCTTCTGTCTCCTTGCAGACGACGATGCCTTTGAGCCAGCAGAGGCCAGGCCGCCCACCCCAGGGGATGGTAGCGGTGAATGTGCATCCCCCCGGCGCCTGGAGCACCCTCTGCCCGCCGCAGGGGCCTCTCTGGCCGACCTGGAAGACTCAGCCGACAGCAGCAGTGCCCTGCTTGTACCCCCTGACCCTGGCCAGAGTGGGAGCACCGCGGCCACAGAGGTGCTGCCGGGGGGCGGCTGCCACAGCCGCAGTTCCCTCAGTACCGTGGTGTAGAGGACGGCCCGGCCCACGGCCCTGACGGGCAGAGAGTACCTTTTTGCTGTCTTGCTGTCAAGAAGACCTTGATCCCCACGGGAGACTTACAGGGCCCTTGAGTGAGCCTGGACCCGGCTGCACGGCCACACACCCACCGATGGCGTGCGTGTGCACGCACACAGACTGCACTGGCCTCCCGAGGGAGCAGATACCTGCACCGGGTCTCCTGGAGGGCTCCAGAAACATGCATAGCTGTCGGGCCCTGTCTGTTTCTTTTCAAATGGCAGAAGAATGGCGAAGTTCGTTCAGACCACACGTTTCAGAAGCAGGGAACAAAGAGGGCACTGTGGGCAGGGGCAGGGGCCAAACCACACCTGGCTTTGGTGGGCTTGCTGGCTGCAGCATGCCGTCCAGAGGAGCCTGCCAAACGGCCACCGAGCCCCAGCTGCCAGGAGGCGGGAGGGGCGCTTCCAGGCACTGCTGTGTTTGTGGACTGTCTGTTGTCCGGGCACTTGGTCTGCCTCAGGGTAGACGGCCTTGGAGGTTACACAGTGACTGCTCTGAGGATCCCCCCCACCCCAGCTGTGAACATCAAGGGTGACCCTGCCCCGGGCTGGGGGCTGTCCTGGACCGCTGGTGCCCGAGGCCCTGAGAAGGGGGTCATGGAAGGAGGTTGAACTCTCCACTGCGAATCCCAGTTCTGTGCCAGGAGGCCCTGGCCCCACCCTGTCATTTTTCTCCCCAGCATTGCTGTGCATGGCTCCCCCAAGAGGCAGCCCTGGAGTTGGGCCAAGACCCTTAGCCAGGCATGAGTGTTCTGGCCCTGGATCCTCTGTTGGGGGTTGGGGGCTAAGCCGGCTCCTGTCTGCTACCCTCTGGAGCCCCCAGTCCTATTGAATTTGCCCCTGGGCCTGGCCTGCCCCTCACCCCATTTGTTTGTGCCATAAGGGGTTCTTTCTTTGTGGGGAGGGGTGGCTGAAATGAAAGCCCCGGGCTGTGTCCATCTCCTGAAAGTCCACTTGCACACTATCACCACTGGGGCCGAGAGCCCAGTGGCCACATGCCACCTTCCCGTGCTCCTCAGCAGCTTGGGGTGCGGGGTACCCTGCCCAGGGGCCTTTGGACGAAGCGACCCTATTGCCTGCTCCTGGGCAGTGGTCTCGTCTCCTGACACGGGGCTTTTAGCATTTCTGAGGTTTGGAGATTAAGCGGGTTCTGTGCGATTTTTAGCACATCCATATCTTTTCTACGTTGAATGTCTGGATCTTTTCCTTTTGTGTGTGCGTATCTGTGTGTGTGTGTACATATGTGTCCAAGTTTTGCAGGTGGTGGCGGTACACCGGAACTCGGGCATGAGGCCCCAGTTTCCCAGGCCAGCCGTGGCCTCGGGGCTGGCACTGAGGCACAGCCAGGTCTGCACCTCCACCCCTGAGGTGGAGGCCGAGAGCATGGAGCCCTGCTCCTGGTCCCCCGTGGAGCCTTTCCAGACCAGCATGCACTGACCGGAGGGTTGACTAGAATTGGGTGCTTCTGTGGGGCTTTGTGGTGACAGACCTCGTTGGCACGTTCTCACACTCTCCCATTGGAAACCCATTGTGTTCTTCCAGTATGGAATGCGATTTTTGAGTTGCCCTACAGAACTGTCATCCCCTGAGCCCGCCAGAGGTGTAAATTCTGAACAGCCTGTCCAGGATCACAGGATCCAGAGTGCTGGAGGCAGGCCTCAGGCAGGTGGGCTGCGTGCCACACAGGCCTGAGCTCCCCTTGCCAAAGGACTGCTACTTCGAGAAAGGCCTCCTGGGCCCATGTGGCCCACGCCGGCGGCTGAAGACAGCAGGAAGCGTATTGGGCCGCCAGCGTGCTGGGCTCCGGGCAGCTGAGGGCTAGAGAGCAATCACGGGTCTTACTGGTGCCAGGTGAGTGTCCTGAGCGTGTCTGCTTTGGAGTGACCACCACAGCGGAGCACAGAGGGGCCTGACCTCTACAGCTGAGAGGCCTTCACAGCTCCCATGTCTCTGGCCCCACATCTCAGAACCATGTGTAGAGGGCAGGACGGTTGGCACAAGGGGCATGGGACTGGGGAACTCCCTCTGGAGACCGAAGGACTGCTGGAGCCAATTAGGCACGCGGGAGGCATCGAGGAGAGAGGGACCTGAGACGCTGGGCCTGCTTCTGGACCGGCCCGGGCTCTGTCCCGGCACCAGGGTGCTCAGCCCACCGGTGTCCATGGGCTGGGCAGAAGGCCCGCGAGCAGTACTGCTCCAGACCCCTGCCCGCTGTGTCTGCAGGAGTTGGTGCCCGGGAGCTGACCTCTGCTGGACAGCGGTTCTGAGGGGAACAAGGTGGGGAGCTGGGGTCTGCCTGGCTGGCCTTGGCCTCCTGTCCAGTTGCCACCCTATGTAAGATCTGACTGCTCTACGGCCCAATGAAGAATCCCGAGGCCAGCCCTAACAGACTCTCGTGCTCCTGGGAGAGACTGGGCCCCCAGAGGTACAGGCCAAGCTCTTGGGAGGGGCCTCCTCCCCCCGGGGGCCTGACTTACCTGGTGGAGGAAGGAGTCGATACTGTACATTGTCTCGATGCCTGTTTTTTGTTTTTCTTTCACTAAGGGTTTTTAGTTTGGGGTTACTTTTGGTTGGGTTGGCACTAATCCTTTTCTTAAGATGCTGTGAGAACCATTTCGTCCAAATGCCAAATAAATTTGTGTTCTGGAAGAGGCGTGGTCAGTCCTTGGTGCGACCCAAGTGGGGACAGGAGGCTCCAGCCAAGTCAGGGCTGCGAGACGCAGTGGTGGGGATGGGTGGATGGAGGGGTCGGAGCATCTGTGCAAGCCAGGCCAGGCGCAAGGCTCCAAGATGCCCCTGTTCCCTCTGTTCTCTCACCATGGCCCTCTCAGTAATTTCCCAGTTTGTGATAGAGGAACAAAGGGGTGCCCAGGGGACTCAACCTCTAACCCAGCATCGTGGCAGTTGGCTCCAGACCAGGCATTGGGGGCCCAGGGACTGGATGGGTGAGGGGCCAGGGTTAGGAAAGGAACAGGGAGTCCCTTGGTTGGGATAGGAGTTTTGAGGACAGGTCCCTCATTCCTGAACACACCTGCTGGGGTGGTGAGGGGTCCTGAGTGCCATCAGCATTGCTGACAGTGCCCCTTCCCCAAAGAAAAGAGCCTGGCCCTCTGGAGGTTGGAAAGAGGTATCACCCCACCTCACCGCCCTCCCTTCACCCCACTGGCCCAGTCGTGCTCACATCCACAGGCACACATGCCCAGATACAGAGCTCTTCCCAAACTGTCACCTTCCTGGTTACACCCAGGGACAGAGAAATCAGCCCCACTTTCCAGGAGAGCAAACTGAGGGAACTGAGGCTCAGGCCACGGTCTGGGGTGAGGGCCTCAGGAGCTGCTGCAGAAGCCTGAAGTCCCCACCTAGGGGGTGGAGGAAGAGTGGGAGACCTGAGGCTTCCCAGATGGTGGGATGATCCCCCAAAGGAAGGCTTGCCCCAGGTGTGCAGGGGGGAACACCTATACAAGAGAGTCTATGGTCTTTTTTTTTTTTTAAGATTATTTGAGAGAGAGAGAGAGTACATGAGAGGGGGGTGGGTGATAGGGAGAAGCAGGCTCCTCGCCGAGCAGGGAGCCCGATGCGGGACTCGATCCAGGAACTCCAGGATCATGACGTGAGCCTAAGGCAGTAGCTTAACCAACTGAGCCACCCAGGAGCCCAAGAGAGGCTATGGTCTTGGGGCAGGGAGTGGTACCAGGCCCACAAAAGGGAAGGACACCCTCCCACCCCAGCCTCAAAAGCCAAGAGCACTGGGATTCAAGGTGCCCTCCCCTTTGATCTTCTGTCCTTGCCTGGTGGCCTTGGCATGTCACTCCTGGCCCCCAGCCTCCATTTCCTCATCTTTAAATGGGCATCGTAGCACCACCCCCAGGAATTGAGAGAATCCACTTAAAGTGCTTTGCTCCAGTGAGTGCCAGCGATTGTTGCTGGCACACAGCCACAGCCCTGGCATCGGGGTGTGCCTGGTGATCTCAGACCTCTGTCTTCCCTGCCTATGGCCCGGCCTGGACACCACCCCTCAGAGCCTCTCTGCAGGGGCCGGCCAGGGAGCCCACAAGACTTAGCCATGCCCCTAGCCGGCCCCGCTAACAAACAGCCACCTTGCCTGCCCACTGCCTCTGGCACTTTCCAGCCCTCTGGAGTCAGTGGCTGCAGCAGCAGGGCCCCGGGCTTTGCACTCGCCTTCCTCACCGGGCCACTGGCGGTGTGCGGGGACACAGAGGGCGAGCACCTGGACCCTGCCATCCGTTCTGGAATCTACGCTCCCTCGTAGCTCCCCCTTTTCCTGTTAAACCCTGCCACTGCGGGGTTTCCTTGGGGAATGAGATGTTGGGGTCTGGGACAGAAGAGCAGGGTCTGTGCTAGCCTCCTCTGGCCTAAGGCCTGCGCCCCCATTCTTGGACCCTGGCTGGGCTGGAGCTTGGAGAGGACCCAGATGACTGTGCTTCATCTCAGTCCCCTGTCCGCTGTCCGAAGGCACCCAGTGCTAAGACTCCCAGGACCCGAAGTGTGGTGAGGACAGAGTGTCGTGTGAGGCTGTGGGAGATGTCTTTGTCCTGGGACCACTAGACAGTCTGGTGCTAGCATGACCCAAGAACAGTGTGCATGCTGAGCTGCTGTGGTCTCTGCAGGTTTCTGTCTGGGGTCCTGGGTCACAGTGGCTGTCTGGGCACCAGGCAGCATGCGCGTGACCGTCCCCCTGCATGAGCGTCCGGGTCTGCTGCTGGTGTGACCTCCAGTCCTGCCACATGTGCCGAGCTGTTCGTATCGCTGGGGTCTGCAAGCCGGTCAGTGTGGCCAGCCCATGTGTGAGCAGGTGGTACCGGTGCCCAGTGTGGGACCAGCTTGGGACCCTTGTGCCAGGAGACCGTCCTACCCCCGTTCCCTGCGGGGCAGGCTACCTGCAGGCGACTGTCAGAGTATAGCCCAGCCCAGGTGGCGCCTCCCTGTGTGAGAGTGTTGCAAACATTGTGGTCTGGCCAGGTCAGGGTATGTGCGGCAGTTGTGACCTGTCTAGGTGTGCGGTGGGGGGGGAGGGGCGGAGGGCTGAGCTTCTTGAGGCTGGGAAATTCTCTGTATGTGTGGGAAGGAGCACCGCCTTCCTCTGTGTACCCCCAAGTTGCCTCCCTGATCCCCCCACAGATCTCTGGCTTTGTTCCCTCAGGCCCCACCCACTGGATGGAGATGGCCTTTGCTTGTGGGGGCCCAGCCCAGTCCCCCATCAACATTGACCTTCACCTAGTCTAGCAGGACCCCACCCTGGGACCTTTCATCTTCCAAGGCTACAACTCAGCACCTCCAGGCCCATGGATCCTGGAAAATGATGGCCATACAGGTCAGTACCCTGGGACTAGGACACCCCCCAGACAGGAGCAGGAACCCACCTGGGAGTGGGAACTACCCCCCCCTCCCCCCCCCCCCCCACAGGAATCAAAACCTCCACAGTCAGCACAGGAACATCCACACATGTTGGTAAAGACACCCCCAACAGGGGTCATGCACCCCCGTATACAGGTGTCAGGACCCCCCTAACAATAGCAATCAGCCATTGCCCCTAGGACCAGAAGTCAGAGCCCCGTCCCCCCTCCCCGCCCAGCATCAGGATGCCTCAGAAGTCATCACAACCCCCCAATATCACACATAGCTGTGGTGAGTCAAAACTCAAGTCACAGGGGGGCCACTCTCTCCCCCGTCCTTGCAGGGGAGGTTATTAACCCTGCAGTCTGCTGACCCGCAGAGGGGCCTGGACACCAAATGAGGTCCTGATTCCATGGAAGCCCAGCCAGGGAGCAGATGGGCCTGAAGGGGACCTGTGCTGGCACCCTGGGCCCTAATAGCACAAGGGTGGGCAGGTGGGGGGAAAGAGACAGTCACGCGCTCCCCTACCCTCAGTGCTGCTCTGCATGGACACTGGCCCGCAGAGCCGTCTGGGGATTCGGGGCGCCGGGCTGCCCCTGCCTGCCTACCGCGCCCTGCAGCTGCACTTCCACTGGGGGGGCCCTGGGCGAGGAGGCGAGGAGCACAGCCTGGATGGGCAGTGCCGCCCCCTGGAGCTGGGCTTGGGCATGGGGTAGGGTGGTGGGAGTGCCCCATGGGAGGGGCAGCTGGTACCTCTCACGATCTGTGCCTCTCCAGATGCACGTGCTCCACATGAGCACAAGGTACCAGAGCCTGGGGGAGGCGTGAAGTCACCCTGATGGGCTGGCCTTGCTGGCGGTGCTGTTGGTGGTGAGGGAGGGTCATGTGACTCCCGGCAGTGAGGGAGGGACAGAGGAGCTCTGTGACTCCTTGTCCTTCCCAGAAAGAGGTCTGCAAAGCAGGGCAGCGTGGGCCTGTCCATGGAGTCTTGGTGGAGCTGTTGGGGGAGTGCATAGGGTTTGTAGGATTTAAAGCGTTCTGTGGGAGGATGGGGGCCAGCCAGAGGTCCTGGAGCTGCGGGGTCAGTGGGGGGTGACCTTCCCCCCAGCAGATGTCCCAGCTGACCCCTACTGGGAGCCTACCCTCTTGCCTCTTACAGTCTCCCCTAGATCCCCTCAGAGTTCCCCCTTTGGAGACCCGTCCACTCAGAGCCCCTCTCACTTGGAGTCTCCTCCCCAAGAGCAAGACACTGACAAGGCCAACTTCTCTGCCCTTGTGTCAGCCCAGAAGAACGTGTCCCAGTGTGGTGAGGAGCCACGGGGTTGCAGCCGGGGCTGGGGGTGCTGGAGGCTGGGGCCGGCTGGGCACAGGGACGCCCGTTCCAGTCCCGCCTCCCCTTCCCCGCCCAGGGGTCTCGGTGAATCCGGCATCCGCCTTCCCGAGGGCCTCGCTGCTACAGGATGCCTCCGGCCTCTCCCGCTACCACCGCTACTCAGGGTCGCTGACCACGCCCGGCTGCCAGCCTGCGGATGTCTGGATGGTCTTAGAGGACAGGGTACCCATCTGGCGCGCGCAGGTGGGCCCACCACCCCTTCCCTGGGCGATGCGGCCCTCCCCCTCCCTCCCTCCCTCCTGCAGCTGAGGGCAGCCCACGTCTTGACCTGTCTCTGCCCCGAACCCTCACATGGCCCAGTTCCAGACTGTGCCCCAGGCCAGGCCCCCTGGCTCAAACCCTGCACCGCTCAGGGAGAATTTCCGCCCACAGCAGCCTCTCCAGGGGTGCAGGGTGTTGGCCTCTCCCAGCACCTCCATCAGCAAGGCAGCCTCGGCCCCCGCCCCACCCCTAGCCAGTGTGCACCGGGCTCTGCTGGGCCTGGGGCTCAGCTTGTGGCTCTGGCAGAGCCCCTAGGAGCCAGAGTCGACACCTTCCCGCAATAAACGATGCACAGAGTGACCTTGCCCTCAGGTATCTTGTGGGGGTGGGGTGGGAGCGCACTGCCTCTCCCCCTGCCCTAACCCCACTGAGGCCTCTGTGTGCCTTACAACGGGGAGACCCCTGAGTGGCCCTCCCTTACCCCATCACAGCCAGTCCCAGACCCCCACCCAGAACACCCAAACTTCCTCAGATTCCCCTGAGAAGGAGAAGGTGCCCCCATTTCCAAGGAGAAAAACTAGCAGGTCGTAGAAACACCACCTGCTAAAGTCTAAGACTACACATTTTATTTTAAAAAACAAGCTGGCTGACTGACCCCAGGCCACTGTATGGGTTAAATGGTGACTTCAGCGGACATTTCCCTGCGTCCAGGAGGTGAGAAGCTACTGGCTCCGGGCTCTGCTGCAGGCTGTGCTAGGTGAGTGGGTCCTGGTGACAAGGACAGCTAGCAAAACTGCGCCCAGGTGACACTGGGAAGTTCGGCCGTGCAGCCTGAGCGTAGGGTGACACTTTCTGAAGAGCCTGTGGGAGGCTAACTGAAGGGTTAAGTGTCCTTGGCGTCACCGTCCACAGCGAAGCTCAGACCAGATGCCACTGTGTGCAGGCAAAGTTGTCCAGTGAGAGGCTGGGTCTGTCAGTAGAGTGAGGCTGGCCAGGGCCAAGCTGCCGTCCAGTTGAAGCCCCGTGGACTGCGGTTGTATATCCCCGCGGCATTGCCCTGAGTGAGGCTGTGTCCAGATGACGATGTCCCAGCCACCCATGTGTCCCTGAAGTCTGGTGGGTAATGTGTGGGTCACACACTATCTCAGTGCTCGGAGGCCCTGCCTCCTGGCCAAGGCCCCTAAGAAAAACGAACAAAAACCACCGAACAGGAAAAACCAACACTCTCCCCTGAGACAGACCTTTGGGCTCGGCCCGAGGCTGTCCCCGGCGCTGCTACACCCCTGAGCCAGACCCTGCTGCAGCTCTGAGGCCAAAAGGGGCTCCACCCCTCCGCCTGCCCAGACTCAGTCTCCAGCCTTGATCCCCCGCTGCGCTTAGCCATCTGCACTCCCCAGACGTGGTCCCCAGGAGTCCCCAGCCTGTGCGCGGCCCGACGTCCAACCCCAAAGCCCGAACGCTAGCAGGCGGTGCCTGAGGCCCCTTCTCCATCCACGGGGGTGTTGGGTCTGTCCACACAAATACATTGCCCGAGGGCGCTTCCAGCACCCGTCCCGGCAACCCTCGGGGGGCTGCCCTCAATCCCCGCCACCCTGCGGGGCCCCGGGCGGCACCGGCGTCTTCTTGAAGTTCTTCTGGCCCGGGCCCTGTTCGCGCCACCGTCCGCAGGGCCGTCCGGGGCGTCGTCGGCGGGCCTCGCGACCGCGGCCAGGGCGTTCATGGTGCCGAGTGCCCGCAGCAGGGCCGGGCCGCGGGGCGCGGCGCGGGGGGCCGCGCGGGGCTCCCGGCCGGCGGGCGGGGGCGGCGGGGGCGGCAGCAGCTCGCGCAGGGCGTCCAGCTCCGCTCGCAGCTCCGCGCGCAGCGCCTCCAGCCCCGCGCCCAGCTCGGCGCGCACAGCCGCCAGGCCCTCCTGCAGCCGCCGCTCGCTCACCTCCAGGACGCCCGCCGGGTAGGTGGCCCCGCCGCGCGGCTCCCCGCACACGGAGCACACGGAGCCGCTGCTGCGCGCGGCCGCTCGCTCCCCGGCCCCCGGCGCCCGGGCCTCCCCCGCCGCGGCCCCCGCGCGCTCCACCAGCCGCAGCAGCCGAGGCGCGTCGGCCAGCGCCGCCGCCTCCGCCCGGAGCTGGACCCGCAGGCGAGCCAGGCGTCCCGGGGCGCGGGCTTCTTCAGGGCCCGGCCCTTTGGGCTGCGGCCCGGGGTCCCGCCGGCGGCCAACGGCCCGTCGCAGCGCCTCGCTCGCGCCGTACGCACTGCGCGCCTGCACCCACGGGCGCCCGCGGGCCGCCGCCATCCGCGCTGCCACCGCCGCCGCCGCCGCCACCGGAGCCGGGCCTGGTCGGGAGCCCCAGCCCGCAGCCTAGCGACCGCTGGGGCCCCGGCGACGCTCCGTGGAGATGGCCCCCGGGACGGCTGTGGGAACGACCGAGGCCTCGGGAGATCTGGCCTGGGGGGGCCGGGAACTCCGGGAGGGCGGGGGTGGGGAGGGCGGGTGGATGGAGCCCCAGGGGACCCCGGCGGGGCAATGCAGGCAGGCTTGAGTGTGCTGGACCTGCTCTAGGGGACTGCGCTGTCGTTGGCGGGTTGAGCAGCTTGGACTGGCTTCTGGGCAGGGGGTGACAGGACATGGAATGAAGGCTGCAGAAGCCTGGGCGCCCAGACCCGTCAGGAAACAGGCTTGCACCCTGTACTCCAAACTGCTGTCCCCATCACAGTCAGGGGAAGGCAGGTGTGCTTCTGGACCCGCCAGGCCCCAGTCCTCCTCACCCGCTAGGGCCCCCACTTCCATACCATAGTCCAGGTCGCTATTATCCCCGCCCCCACCCCTACAGCTGCAGGAATCTGTCCTCCTCCTGGGCGCCCCCATTCAAGCTCTTCAGGGGTCTGGGTGGCTCTCTGCTGTGCCCCAGTCCTCAGCCACTGGATGTCCCAGCCCACCCTACACTGCGTTCTGGACATGTCTTCTTTTACCCAACAACCTCAGCCCCTCTGAGCCTTTGCTCAGGCGGTTTCTCCCGCTGGGAACGCGCCCCCCCTCCCCCCCCATTTGCCTGGCGGCTCCCATTCATCCCTCCTCTGCAGCACAGCCTTCCTTAGCCACCCCAGCCCCCAGCAGGTGACTCAGGCTCCTCGCCCCCGTGTTTCAATGGCTCTGTTTTCTGTCCACCTGGATCCACAGTAGGGGTCCTGAGCACTGGAGGACTGGGTCACTCAACTTTCAGAGGTACTAAACATGCGGGATGTTGGAGACAGGAGTAGATGAGTGAATGAGTCTGGGGCTGAGGGTCCTGAGTAGTGCAGGGCCTCTACCACCCACCCTGGTCAGCCCGTGCACCTCCTCAGCCTGGCATTCAAGACCCTCGTAGTCATCCTTGCTGGCTTTCCTGTCCCTGACACCTTTCCCACTTGTGCGGGTTGTCCTCACCACTGGACTCCATCCTTTTTCACCCCGGTGCCTTCACCCATACAACTGCCTGTGGCCATCACAGGGTCATGGGCAGTGCACTGTGGGTAGCATCCCTCTGCCCAGCATGCTGTTCTCACCGGACCCTAGGGCCTAGTTAGGACTCTGGGTGCCCTGGGGGCTCCCCAGCAAATTGTGGGGAGGGAGGGTCTGGTGTGAATCCAGGCTGGGCTGGGAGGGGATGGCAAGGTAGCCACAGGGACCTGTGTCCCTTGAGCGCACAGGGGCCTAGCCACTATGTAGCTCTGTGCCCGTGTGTGTGTGTGATTGAGGGTGCTGCCAACCCTGTTCTTTGGCAGCCCTGGACCCAGGCCACCATGAAGACTTCTGGATCCCCCTATTCATTCATTCATTCATTCATTCATTCATTCATTCATTCATTGTAGCCTCTCTGGAAGGTGCAAGGGGAGGTGAGAATTTGGCACTCTGTCAAACCCCACAGAGCCCCCCATTCCTGCTGAGTCACCTGACCCCCTGGGATATCCAGTGTCTGGTTCTGCTGGTCCCCAGGGCCTCGTTAACCATACTCCTGCCCCCCCTCCCCTCAGTAATTAAAATATTGCAGAAAAAAAATGCCCTGGATTCCTTCCCCAGGCCTGCTGGAGTCAGGTTGTGTGACCCAGGGGCTCTGCCTCCTCTGAGCCTCACCTATGAAGTGAAGGAGACCCCTAACATCTGTGGTGGGGGCACAGCAAGGAGGCTGGGAAAGGCTGGGGAGGGGGGCGGGGGGGGTGATGGTGGACAGACTCCAGATCTGTGATGTGGTATGAGAGCCAGGAAGGGTGGGGCTGGGCTGCCAGGGCAGAGAGGGGCCTCGAAGTTTTCTGACTGTTGAGGCTGCTGGAGGGATGTGGTAGGAACAGAGCCTTTGCGGTGAAGAGCTGACGATCCTGCAGGTGCTGCAGATATGAGGTCATGGCTGGTGGCAGAGAGTCCCAAAGTCATGGGCAGACAGATTACCCAGGAGCGAGTGCAGAGTGGGAGGAGAGGCCCCGGGGACCCCAACCAGCCCAGAGGGGGGCTGCAGAGGCGTTGGTGAGGGGTGAACAGGCAGCTGTGGTCAACATGACCCTGAGCCCCTGAGGTCAAGGGCAGCGATAGTCAAGAAATAGGTTGCGGTGACTGTAGCCTGAGCCTCACAGGTGGGGGGGCCAGCAGAAGCTGAGGACTGGAGGTGAGAGGATAGGTTGGGGAGCCCTTGCCTAGGCTCGTTGGTCAGAACAGAGGTAGCTTCGGAAGGAATGGGACAAGAAGCAGGAACAGAGCTACTGACCGGGCCAGGGGGACTGGCACACAGGCCTGCTTTCTGGTTCTTCTGCTTTCTAGAATATCCTCATAGGCCAGCCTGCCTGGCCCCCTGCACAGAGGAACTGAGTGGGGCCCAGTGCAGGGCCTAGCTCCTTCCCCACTCCGGCCCCCTCTGTGTGCTCAGGGCCAGGGCCTGGTCTGCTGGGGGTGGGGAGGCCGGCTCTCACAGCTCCGGGAGCTGTCCCCGTCTGGGCTCTGTGCATTCAGGTGGGCCCCTCTGCACAGGCAGGGTTGGGCGATCAGCGGGCTTGGCCACTGATTAACCCAGAGCCTGGGAGGAGGGAAAACCCTGGGCTCTGACTCTTCCTGGAGAAGGGGGGCAGGCTCCGCGTCACTGAATTGCCTCACCTTTGCTCTCTGTTGCCGTGAAACCCTGGCGGCCCCCCAGAGAGGAGGTCTTATTTTCCAAAGCCGAGGGCGGTGGGAGCCAGGGAAGAGTTCAGTCGGCAGGGCCAGGCGGGCTTTGTATGTCGGAGGGGCCCTGGTGGCCTCGGAGGGGGCAGGGGAGCCTCCCAGTCATCACGGGAGTGTCTGGAAATGCAGATGCCCAGGTCACCCCCTCCGCCAACCCCACGAGGTAGAACTGAGTGTGAGCGTTCAGGGCACGGTGGTCTTTGTCTTCTTCCGCAACTGTCTGCACACCAAGTTCTGGCCCAGCCTGGTTCTCAGTGAAGGGGGGCACAAGGCGGGGAGACCCTCCCGGGTTGGCTCTGAGGGTCTGGGGAGGGCGACCCCCATGGGAAGCGGGAAGTATGGTCTGCCCTGAGCCCCCAGCCACCCTGGGAGGAGAAGGGGGCTAGCCTTGGAGCTGGGCCTGGAGTGGGCTGCCCCTTGCCTTTCTGGTCACAGACCCCGGCCCTCAGCACGGACTCTAGAGCATGGATGCCCACCCAGTCTCTAGCCAGCTGTGCCGCTTGCTTGCTGTGGGAGCCAGACTGACTAGGCCCCTGGCTTGGCTGGGGCCTGGACCTTGGCCCCAGGGCTCTTAGGAAAGGAAGGCTGTGGTACCTTTGGGGCCCCGAAGTGCAGGCCACGTAGTGGAGCGTCAGTAGACTAAGCGGGCAGCTCGGGCTTGGGTCATGGCTCAAGGCACCACTCTGGGCTAGTTCATGCTGCCTCACGGAGCTCTGGCGGCCCTGTTGCCTTGTTTCGGTGTTCCCAGCTGTCAGAGCCCAGGACCAGTCTTTGCTGGCCAAGAGATGGTGAGGGTGGCAGTGGTGACAGATGCTGGGAGGTGGGCAGGGGCCATGGGAGGCCTGTGGCCTGAAGGGCAGGTCTGAGCTGCAGGTGGCTCCTCATTTAAAGAAGGGGCGAGAGGGTCCGGGGCTTCCTGTGGGGACTGGACTTGGGCACACTCTGCCCCTGAACACCCCTTGGCTACGAGGCCCTGGAGCTGCTCCCCGGTCTCCTGGTGGCTCTGGCTACCCAGGCATTCCCTAGGAACTGTCCTGGGGCAAGGGCAAACTCATTACCTAGTAAGGACCTTGCCTGACTTCAGTAATGAGCTCATTACCTGATAATGACCTTGTTTGCCTCATCCTGGTGTCAGCAGCCCTAGAACGTCTGGCCTGGGGTGGTTCTGACCAGTCCTGACCATGGCCTTCAGCCTCCCCACCCGGCCCAGATGGTGCATCAGGCCCGCCAGGATCTGTGTGCCCTGCAGGCCCAGCCTGGGCTCCCAGTGGGACCATTCTGGGTTCCTGACCACCCCCCAGCTGCACAACCTGGGCAAGTGAACCCTTTAACCTCTGTTCCTCATTCCCTCACCCACAGGTGGGGCAAGAGGGTTTGCGTGGAACAGAGGGAGGAGGGCCGCCTCTGAGGGACACTCTCTGACCACACAGGGCTCCTCAGAGGCTCCCCTTCTACAAGCTGGGGGAGGGGGTCGCCACATCAGGACCATCCACACAACCACTGGTCCCTGGCATGGCCCCTCATCTCCTCACTCCCGGTATAGGGGAGTATGGGGAGGTCTGAGGGCTGGGTCAGCCTGCCCCATCAGGGTCCCCTCACCTCCCCTGTGGCCAGAGGGCATTTCCCTGTCCTCAACCCTCTTCTCTTAGCAGCACTAACACAGCTGGCTATGGTCTCCTACTCACACCCTCCTGGTGACCCCAGACCCTGGCAGACGCCTCTCACCCCCATGCCATCCCCCTGGATCCCCCCATGCCCCCACCTGCCTCACTTCTCCAGGCCTTGGGTTTCGCCCTTTTCTTCTCAGTGGGAGCCTGATCAACCTAATTCTTTTTTTTTTTTTTTAAAGATTTTATTTATTTATTTGAGAGAGAGAATGAGATAGAGAGAGCATGAGAGGAGGGAGGGTCAGAGGGAGAAGCAGACTCCCTGCTGAGCAGGGAGCCCGATGCGGGACTCGATTCCGGGACTCCAGGATCATGACCCGAGCCTAAGGCAGTCACCTAACCAACTGAGCCACCCAGGAACCCCAACCCAATTCTGATTAAGACCCACCTCTGCCCAACATCCTCTGCGAACTGCCACCTCACTCCTGCAAGAGGCCGGGATCCTGCGTGCCCCCGGGGTTTGGACCTGCCCCCTCAGTGACCCGCTTCCTCTTGTTCCCCAGGCCAGCACCCACCCACCCCCCACCCCGAGCCTGTGCACATCCTGCTCCCTCTGTCTCAGGTCACAGTTTACATGGCCTCCTAG